CAGGGATTTATGGGAGATCTGACGCAGTGTGCCGACTGTTTGCTTCTCTCCCACTCAGGCTTGCTTCAGGAAGCCCTAGACTCCTTCGCCCAAGCAGCAGAGAGTGAATTTGGCTGCCTGCTGGTGCACGGCCGTGTGGCACAGGCCACGGAGAAGTGGTGGTCTCGACTGACGTCCCAGGAAGTTGTTGTGCTCTCAGTCTTGGTGCACTCGCTCTCCGGTGCATCTTCATGTGACTACCCCGTCTTCCTTCCCCAAGGAAGTCCTACCGTCGCCATTCGCTTGCTCAGTTTCCAACTACTTCCTGGGGTTCATGTGTGTGTCCTCTGTGGCCCCAAACCCTCTTTATACAAGGCAGAGAATGAGTTCATTGGTCGTTTTTGGTCCACTTTTGTGGAGAACCTGCGCAGCTGTTTGGAGCAGGCCAAACATTCTACTCTTCCCCCGTCTATTAGCCTTCGCTGGGACATCCAGGCGCTTCTCCTCATCAACCGTGAATCTCGACGTGCCGTCACCGTCTGCCCTCGTGTTCGCAGTGGCGCTCCTTCGGAGGCTACGCCTCTCCTCTCGTCAGGCAGGCGTTTGGAGCTCCTCCGCCTTTTGTATACGTTTGCCGTGACTCGATATTTTACCTCTCAGGAGACATCAGTTTCGTCAGCCTCAACTTCCTCAGAGGATTTCTTTCAGGGTTTTACCCACGTCCCTGTGCAGTGTTACCTTGTCACAGATGAGTGTAAGTGTTATGGCCTGCAGAGTTCCCAACACCAGCTCTTCCTCCTCATGGATCTGTCTGTGCCCACGTTTGCCTTGCGTACTGTGGCTACACAGACTCTCTCAGCGATAACTGCTGCAACTGGTTTTTAGGGCATTGGCTTGGACATGTATGGGTTACTTAACCAGGTAGCAGACTTACTGGATTTGCAAAAATGAACAGCTCAAGAATTAATAGTAGAGGATAGTTCACATCAAATGAAAACTCTGTCATCATTTTCTTACCCCCATGTCCTTGTATGAGCTGTTTGAGTTTGTGTTTTCTGCGAAAAACAAATCTTCCAGAAATGGTCCATACAATGACAGTAACTTTCCGAAACAACAGTGAATCACATTGAGGAAAGAATGGCAAGACATGTTTCCAAATATCTTCTTTTGTGCTGGCATGCAGATTTGGAATGGCATGAGGGTGAGTAAATGATGACTGAACTTTCATTTTGGGTGAACTATCCCTTTAACTGGTTCCTGGCAATTTCTGGCTGTGATCATCAGGCTCGTGCCTTGTTGTATATTAATATATTAATCTTAAGACTTTTTGTTAACACTTTACAATAAGGTTCTATTTGAACTAGCAATGAACTATGTACACCATTTATTAATATTAGTTACTGTAATGTTATTTCTGCATCTACTAATACAGTTTTATTTTTAAAGAAGTTTATCATATGAATTAAACATTGAACAACAGCACATTTATAAATTAACATAAACCTATAATAACACATGCTGTATGCATAAGTATTATTCATTGTTAGTTTGTGATACCTAATGCATTAACTATGTTAACAAATTGAACCGTATTGTAAAGTCTTACTAATATTTCTTTACTGTCACTGTTTAAGTACTTTCTTAGGAGCTGGATAAAAAAACACAGAATATAAACAAATGTGATTCTAGAAAGTGAATCAAAATATAGACTCAAAAGCACTTAATGACTACTTTGTAACTGTATATGTGTAGCATTCACACTGTGATACCACATCCTTTGTTTTGTTGTTACGAAACATTGAATGGAAAATGTGTTTGGCATTGAGGACCAACATAACATCATTTTCGAAAGCTGTGTATGTTAATATTCACTTAATGACACTGGTGAACAAATTAGTTTTATAATATGTTTGAATTTGTGGTGTGAATAAATACATATGCATCTTTAGATTTTTTGTTTCCTTATGATTCAGTTATATTTTCATGTTTCAGCACCAACAAGGAAATAAAATCATTCTGCATTCTAGCATTCTGCTGTTATTATTTCTGAACCACATTCATGTTTTCACAGTGTGATTTTTCTTTTTCCTCTTCTTTTTTTTTGGTGAAAATTTTATTTGTAAAAATCAGCAGAAATCTGTGTGACCACGCACCCTTGCTGCCCAATCGTATTATGTTCCAAGAACAGACTCTTGTATTTTTTTAACAACAGTGGGTGATGTAAAAGAAGAAGTAAACACTTGCAGGTTAAATAAAGACAGGATATCGGGTGTGAGTATTGCTGCAATGAACATTTTAATTACATATTTACACCTCATTTTAAATATAAATAGCATTGTAATGTACAGCCAGCACAATAGTTAACCTGCAATTGCACGCAACAATTGAGAAACTAACAAAAAAACAAAACAAGATAATGACAAAATAAATTGAATGCGCATGATGTATAAAAAGGAAACATGGCTTTTTTTATTGGATGCACTTAGGAAAGAAGTCCAATCCTGGGTTTCTGTAAAACATTTTCTTATGAAGACTTATTTATCAGTAGTATATGAATGTCTGAAGAGGTGTGTTGTTTTTTTTACGGGATATGAAATTGGCAGGCTTGTTGTTTTGTTCATATATAATTATCCATTAACAAATTCAACTTATCATGTCTTCAATTGGTGGAAAACAGTTTCCCTGAGTCACTCCTTCAAGTCAAAGGTCAACGCAGTCTGATCGGCACAAAGCCGAAATATTCTTGAAGTACAGCCAATAAGCTGTATAAAAGGCTAAAAAAAATAAAAATAATTTAATGGCATGTTTCATATAAAGCTGTTCATCCACACCCAGTCTCATTATCATTGCTTTAAAGGGATAATCCGGGATAAATACCAGTTGAGATCAGTGACATGCATCAGTTTGCGAAGACAATGTGTTGATAGAAAGGCGCTCACAATGGAAGTCTATGGGGCCCCTGACTGTAGGAACGTAACCATCAACAGCCTATCCCTCGTCTCACTGAAAAACTAGTTTGAGTATTATATCAGGTATTATGTCACAGAATAGCAGCAGCAGGCATTGGCTTGTGTCTCTAACTTAAAATATGTGCTAGTAACCAGCTTCATGTGTCGTTATTAATCTTTATTAGCACTCTGAGTGGCTGAGATGGGTGAGAGGAAGTGGGTGGAGAGGATAGGCGAGAAGGGACTTTTCCCGCATCTTCTCTCTGTTAGATGTGGAAACAGATGTCTGTATGTTAATGCACGGTGTGTTTATTGTCCATCTCAGAAGATCAAAGTGTCTGAGGTTCTGTAAACCTTACACTGTCTAAAGTGAAAAGGTGGAAAGGTGGGTTTTCACTGCAGTGCCTTAGAAGAACTATTCTGGGTTCCTTAAAGAAACTTTATGTGAAAGAACCGTTTTCTTAAAAGAACCATTTTTTTCTTTTAGTGTGAAGAACATTTTAAAGGGATAGTTCACCCAAAAATGAAAATGTGATGTTTATCTGCTTACCCCCAGGGCATCCAAGATGTAGGTGACTTTGTTTCTTCAGTAGAACACATTTGATGATTTTTAAGTCCAACCGTTGGAGTCCATCAGTCTTATAATGGATCTCAATGGTAACAAAGTCTATGAGTGTAAAAAAACATGCACAGACAAATCCAAATTAAACCCTGCGGCTCGTGACGACACATTGATGTCCCAACACACGAAACGATCGGTTTGTGCCAGAAACCGAACAGTATTTCTATCATTTTTTACCTCTAATACACCACTATGTCCAACTGCTTCGAGCACGCGCACAGCTTCCGGTGCGTGGGGTGTTTACGCGCTCTGGCATAGTTTACGTTAATGGGTGTGTTGTCGCGGGAGGAGCAAACGACAGACACCGTTTATTAACAGAAAATAAACAAAGTGTCCAGAAAAAAGGGAATCAAGTGTCCAAAATAAACAGGGGATCTGGTGTCCTCGTCGTGCTGCGGGGTTCGTGCAGGGAAGGGCAGTGGTCAGGAAGGAAGGGTCCAGGTAAGGGGCGGAGTCCGGTGGCCGCACATGCTCCCCTCTCCGGCTTCTATCAGCGGCTTCGTCCTTCTCTCTGCCCACGGCGCTTGAAGGGACTAGACGGCCCAGCATCCTTGCCCGACGGCCATGTAGCGGCGATTAAGGGACGGGGTGATGCTGATAATTAGGGGGAGGCAGCCGACTCGTCACAGTGTGTTGATATCCAGCCGAAGAGCAATCAACCATAACTTCAGGCAAGCAGGCTCAGAAGTCAGTTTGAACAATCCGGATAAGCGCAAGTAAGTACCATTTTGAATACGTGTGAGAGATCACTTCCGGCGCTTGCGTAAACTCGTAACTACACCAGAGCGCGTACACATCTCACGCACCGGAAGCCGTGCGCGTGCTCAAAGCAGTTGGACATAGTGGTGTATTAGAGGTAAAAAAATTATATAAATACTGTTCGGTTTCTGGCACAAACCAATCGTTTCGTGTGTTAGGACATCAATGTGTCGTCAGGAGCCGCAGGGTTTAATTTGGATTTGTCTGTGCATGTTTTTTTTACACTCATAGACTTTGTTACCATTGCCATCCATTATAAGACTGATGGACTCCAACGGTTGGACTTAAAAATCATCAAATGTGTTCTACTGAAGAAACAAAGTCACCTACATCTTGAATGCCCTGGGTGATGCCACATTTTCATTTTTGGGTGAACTATCCCTTTAATAATATATCCTGTAATATCTCCTCTTTAACAACCAACCAGCCCCTCTCACATATTCCAATAAGACCAAAGTGGTTGAATAATAAAGAGCATGCTGTCTGGAACATCATGGTCCCTGATCATGACAACTTAGATTTAGCATCAATTTTTAAAGTCATTTTGCCATTTTCTCCAACTGGTCTACTATTTCCTGAAGTTTGCCAGTACCTTTGTGGAACAATTCTTTCAAAGAACACAGAACCCTGTAATGTGATCACACTGTTTGTTAATCTCTTCTGCAAGACACACAGAGCCTTAGTTAGTCATCATGGGAGGAGCTGGCGTGCTTTATTCTCAGTTATTGGATCAATGGGAGGAGGTTCACTGTGAAGGGAAGTTTTACACCGGTCAAAGTTTGGAGCCGCTTCAGACGCTTCACGCGGGTCAATCGTTGCTATCTGTCGTCTCGGTAACCGAGGAGGCTTCCCTTTCTACACTTCTGGTGCGTAATATAGCCCACTTTCGGGAGGAGATACTGGCTACAAAACTCCCCATTTAAAAAGAGGCAGTCATGGAAAAGTGACAAGAGAAACACTAAATGTACTGTTTTTGAGCCCGGTAGAAAAAAGGAGGCGTGGGGATTTAGTGGGGGTCAGCAGTTGCTCATGCTTCTTATGAAATCTTGAACTATCTGATGCACAGTCCAAAGGTCTTCTCAAATATATCTTTGTAGGGTTTACTACGCCCGTAACAGCAAACGTGCGTTGATAACCAAATTTTAAGAACCCAGTTTTAAGCTCTACCTCTTAACCGTTAAGTAAACCTGTTGCGCTTTTAACTGTTAATAAAAATGTTATCTAATAGAACCGTGAGTGTTTTGAAATGGGGAAGATGTGAGGCTTACGCGGCAGTGTACCCCACGGTTCCAGACTGGGTCCTGAACTTTTCTCCACTGCCTTCCCTTTCTTCTCCCCATAGGAATCTTTCTGCATTCCCGGCGGCCCAAAGCGAACATCTACAACAGAAGATGTCCGAAAACGGAGCGTTACCACTTCGGGGGAAAGTGCTCACCGTTGACACCATGAACGCCAACGTGAAGAAGGTTGACTACGCGGTCCGCGGACCAATCGTTCAGCGTGCGGTTCAGATCGAGAAGGAGCTAAAAGAGGTACAAGCTTTATTCATTAAATATGAGCAAAAAAAGTAATGCATTGCGCGAAAGTTTATGTTATGGCAGGCTGTAAATTCAGCAAACATCCCGTAATTCTCATGCGCACAGTTTGGAAGCGTAGCATATCAGGATAACAATTATGCAGTGTGTTTATGTGACTATAACCCCGCTCTAAAGTGAAAACAACTAGGTGAACTGATGAGCTACTGAACTACTGTGAAATTTAAAAGCTTTTTTTTTTTGGTGTGATTTTACTTTTACAAATTACTTTTGGTGTAACAGTGTAATGTAGTTTTGAATAGAACCATTTTACTATGTAAAGCACCTTTTAGGTTACTTGACAAAAGTTCTAATAGTGCATGTGCACTGAACCTCTTGAATCATATACATAAGGCTATTTCTTCTTAGTGGAAAAAGGCGGTTTCATTTTTCTAGTGAATATCTTTCTGTATCTTTGCGTGCTTGAGGTTCATACCAAAGACACTTTTAAAAGTGGGTTGCAATTCAAAAGAAAAGCTTTGATTAGCTAATTCAACAACAAATTAGCAGAAAAACGTCCAGTGCCTGTTACTCTGTCACTCTGTATCCTCAGTTTTTTTTTTGGAAACTTAACTAGGTCAGTGTTTGTGAAGCAGACTGTCATCACTCATTAGTGGATAAAGTCCATTCTTTGTTACTCATTTAGTTATGGCTACAGACATCTAGCAATCCTCATTTCAGATGGTCATATGAGTGGTGCTGGGAGTAGTAGTAAACTCTGAGGTCATGCCCTTGATAAGATCGCAGGCTAGAGTCAGCACTGCTTGTCATAGGAACAGAGAAGATCTCTGTTTGTCAAGTCTTTACCTCACTCTTTAAATTGGTGGCTGTTTCTAAGTAAACTACAGCACCTTCCATGAACTAACACACATGGAAATTATATTAGATTTCAAACATCTGTTGCCACACAGCTGCAAAACAACAGCTGAAGCTGGACTATTTTCTAGTATTTAACACACATTCTCACCAGAAAATCTTGTGTTATATTTAGTTTTTAAACCACATTCATCACTTATTTAAAGCTTACAAAAGTTATTTTGGTTATTTGATTTTTTTTTCTTCAAATGCCTTTTATTTTTTCAAAGGCTTTTATGCTCCTTGTCTCAGAGCCAGACCTTCAATCATAAACCATGAAAATGCATTATAAAAATAATAATTACATTTTAAACCCGTGATAATCTAAACAAAGCATGAAATAAACCATTTCAATATTGTGTGACAATGATTTAATCCAGTTTTATACAAATGATAACTGTCACACAATAATTTCACATTTATAAATTTGCCCCTAAGCTACATGCAGAAGGCCTCTGCTCAGATGCAAGGTACTGGCAGTCACAATGACAACATCCACACACACACACACACACACACACACACACACACACACACACACACACACACACACACACGGACACGGACGGTTAGAGACTGCAGGAACAAGTACTGCAAGAACAAGTCAACAGACTCTATTAAAGGTGTCCATGGAATTGTGAAAGAGCTCATAAAAACTGTACTGTTTTCTGTACTGTTAACTGTTTTCCAGAAATCTCATATTATAATGATGCAGCCGAGATGTTTTTTCAGCATAGTCTGTTGGGGGATTTCTTGATCTAGGAAAGAATATGCCCTCTGTTTTAGTCTTGGCACCTGTTGTCAGGTCTATCGGTTTTAGGTTTCTGGGAAAGACATGCATGACAAAGGTGGCCTTCACCTAATACTGTACAAATCTTTCTTTGGCATCCTACTGTATACTTTCCCCTATTTTTCCTGATGCAATCTAGCACGCAGTGACAAGCACACTGACTGAATCCGTTTAGTTTAATTGAATTATCATTTAGATGTAAATGTGATCCCCCTCCTTATGTAAGTTAGATTTCACAACAATCCAGTTGTGTAATGATTCCTATGGCCTGACAACCATTGTACAGTTTAATTTAAGAACAATTATGAAAATACATTTTTCACAGCAATAGAAAGGCTGCTTCTTTTCATACAGTGTTAATTTTGACAGCAAATTTTGATTTATTTTTAGTCATATTTTAGTCATCTGAATTGTTTTTAGTTTTAGTCTAGTTTTAGTCAACTAAATATCATAAGATTTAAAAGATTTAAAATATCTAAGTAAATTTAGTCGGGTGAAATCTAATGGGTTTAGTTACAGTGCATTTATTAAGCATTTCTCTCAAATTTCCAAACTCATTATATAGGTTTGATATTAAAGTTTTATCATGACAGACACCGATTTAACTGCGGTGACACGCAACATGCCTTTGTTAAAATTTAATGAAACCACTTCTCATAAATAATAAGAACATGGTCTTCTTTTTAATGAAATACCAATGGTTTTACAGTATAATTCCCCAAATACTTACAATACAATACAATACTTCCCTGAAGTGTGGTGACGGCGTCCTGCCAAGAAGCTACTATCACTACCTCAATCACACATGAGCACACAGGCTCTATTGTCTTCTAACACTATCACTGTCTTTGCGGTGGTCTTTTGAGTGTAGAATCTTTAGTACTTCTATTCCTCAGCTGCGTTGCATATACCAGACACCACTCCCAAGTTGCTTGTTGCAGGAATTAACGTTTTATTCACGGCCTGGAGCCCACTGGTCACAACAACCAAGAGAGACTCCCTGAACAGAAGGATACATGAACATTTATACCTTGTAGTTGAGTAAAAATTCTTCACTGTAATTGGTTATACTGATCTGGTCATTGGTTTGTCATTCTACAGTTTTAAGCACTTTTTGGGTAAGTATAGATTATTTAATCATAGAGACACAGTCTTTGATCTCAGCATCCTTAGTCTGAACTTTTCAGAACATTCTATGTTGATCATGCCCTTTTGAGTCCTGAGGCCATTAAATAAAATATTTCCATCACAAGTGTAAAACGGACTAATGCACCGTTCTCAATTTTGTTGGATTAGTTTTGAATAGCTATATAAAAAAAACATGTGCGCTCAAGTGAAATTCAACTGTTAAAGCTCTCATTAATGTTCTACTTTAATTACACAGCTTATGTTCGAAATTAGACTCATAAGAGGTGTATAATTCAGGCATTCATTCCAAAAATGCTTAATTATAGCTGAATATAAAAGTGCTTCTCTTGAGACTAAACCTTAGCTGCCATATAAAGGTTGATAAGAGTTCATTTCAGTGCCACCTTGCAGAAATCAGGACATTAAGTGTACAACAATGAGAAGAATAAACTGAACTGTCACAGCAACACTGGTATTTTGACAGAAACCTTTTTTTATAATTAGACATATACTAAAAGATTTCCTGCAGCCTAAACTCAAATTCAGAGGACAACTTTGCAAACCACATATATGTTTTAGCTAGAGAAAAACATGTTTTAAAATGTTAATTTAGGGGGTTTTAAAGGGCTAGTTTACCATGAAAAATTTTACTACTCACGCTCATGTCGTTCAAAACCTGTACGTATCTTTTTCTATTGTGGAACAAGCTGGTAACCAGTTTTGGTAACCATTTCTCATTCTTTTTTATTTTTAAGTGAATTATTCCTTTAACTCTACATAACTTTTTGTTGTTGTTGTTGAGATTTTTATACAACCCATGCTTGCCTATTCATAAATGACTGGATTATTAGCTGATTAATTTTTTTATTTAAAATTGAAAACTGAAACATGAAGCATTTTTCGTTTTTTCAAAAACATGAAAAGACAAGAATTCGCCTTAATTTTTCGTTTTTACATTCAGGGGTAGAAAATGGATAAACAGTTTAAATATTCTTAAGTTGAATTTAGATGTATTTACACAATTAATGCTTCTCAGATGGCATTGCATTATCACAGCAATTGCATTATGGAATGAGATTAATGTTTAAAACAAAAACATTCTGAATAAATAACAAAATATTTAAATGAGTGACAAAATGAAACATTTGGATACTTGAATTATGAAGGTTAGCCAGTAGGTGGCGGCAAGTCATTGTGTTGATGAATGAGTCATAGAGTCATCAATTCAACCGATTCGTACGAAATGCTGATTTGTTCAGGAGCAAAGCAAATGGGTCACTGAACCACTCACACAAACGATTCATTCAAAGACTCTGACTTATTCAAGAATGAAACGCCTGTATTTTAAGTAAAATAAAACACACTGTTTTGTGTCTAAAATTAAATCAATTCATACTCATTATTAATGAAACTGTATGGTCTAAAATAAAAGTTATGACTGCTGCGTATGCACACAAAATCAATACTGGTCTGCGCTTCACTATAATGTTAATGCATTCGCCCTGTGTTGTCCAGTGCGTCATGCATCTTTGCCACACAGATTTTGATAAATGGACAGCTAAATAAAATGTGCGGTGTGCCAAAGAAATAGACTAAAATGGTAATGTGGCTGCAGATCCGAGGTACATACATATTTCTGCGATAAGCACCTAATACTTGCCATAGAGAAACTATGCCTACACAGAAGTAAACCCTGTTTTCAGAGAGACGAAATGCAGGAGTTACAATA